TAGGCAAGTGATGGATGAACTATCGAGAGTTTGGTACAAAAGAAAAACCTAAGGGGTTGTACCCCACAGTGAGTACCCCACTAAAGCCTACCTAAACTATAACATATAAACATATGTTTGACACACCCCCATAGGCAAAGTGGGGGAGAACAGAGGGTCACAAGGCCAGCCAGGAAGTGCAAAGCAAGCTCAGGGTGGATCACAACGTCACCACGCAGTCTGAGCACAAGCAAAAGGCCACAAGGCCAGTTCACAAGCAGAGATATATGTGTAACAACAACAGCACAGTGATATCTACCTACAAGAGCAAGCATGCAAGTATACATATAGATCACAGTACAAACAAAGCCTACAGCAAGTGAGGAAGCGTGGGAACAAGGCCTAACAAAGTGCAAAAACGCTGATGATCACCAGGCGGAAGCGCCTTGATGAATATATCAGCATTGTTGGCCCGAGTGGCCACGTAAGCAAGACGAAGCTGGCCACGCTGCTGCAGCTCTCGAGCAAGGAAGTAACGTAGAGTGATGTGCTTCGTTCTGTGCTCCAGTCTGTGCTCCTGACACAAGGCAATGGCAGCCTTGTTGTCGACGTACAGAACTGGAGGAGAACGAGGCCGCTCTCCCAAGTCGGTCAGCAGGTAGGTGAGCCAGCGTAGCTCCTGTGCAGCCATGGCTGTGGCGTAGATCTCGGCCTCACAGCTGGAGCCGAGAACTGAAGACGAACGTGTAGAACGCCAGGAAACTGAACCAGAACCAAGGCTGAAGGTGTAACCCTGTGACGACCGCAGCGTAGCCTGGTCGTCAACCCAAGGGGCGTCCGAGTGACCAGTGAGGACAACGTCACCCCGTCCTCCAAGCACGAGCCCCATGCCCGATGTACTGCACAAGTAGCGTAGTACCCTCTTAGCAGCATCCATGTGCACCTTTCGGTGCCGACCAGGAGCCACGTAGCGAGCCAGAAGGCCAAGAGGGTACGCAAGGTCAGGACGAGTGCAGGTCATCAGGTACATGAGGCAGCCCACTAGCTCTGGGTAAGGACCACTCGGCTCTACGGACTCGTCCGAAGGTGGAGCTGAGAGCGAGTGACCTGTAGCCAGAGGAGTGGCCTGTGCTGAGGACCAGGTGAAGCCGAAGCGCTGAAGGACCTGCTGCACCATGTGTGACTGAGTCAGTGTGATGGTGCGGCGTGCTCTGTCCCGGGTGATCTACAAGCCAAGATAGCTGCACAGCTCACCCAGTTCTGTGCACGTGTGTCTCTTCTGCAGCTCCGACTTCACCAGGGCGAGAGCCTCAGTGTCAGCAGTGGCAAAGACCAAGTCGTCGACGTACACGAGGATGTAGAACGGCGGCAGCGAAGTGTCGGTGCGCAGAAACAGCGACGGGTCAGCAGTCGACGGAGCAAACCCAAGAGCCGCAAGTGTCGTCCTCAGTGTGTCGTGCCACTCACGTGGCGCCTGGCGGAGACCGTAGACCGGCCGCCGGAGGCTCCACTGGGTACCAGGAGGGAACGACCCAGTGAAGCCAGGAGGGCGGCGCAGCCATATCTCCTCGTGCAGGCTGCCCTGTAAGAAGGCTGTGCTGAAGTCAAGAGAGTGAAGCTCGTAGTCACGCTGAGCGGCAACGTGTAGCAGCACTCGAAGAGTGGTCATCTTCGGGGTGGGGGAGAAGGTCTGGAAGAAGTCAACTCCCTCTCGCTGACTGAAGCCTCAAGCCACGTAACGAGCCTTGAAGACAGGCGGAGAACCTGGCGGCCGCTTCACCCTGAAAATCCACATGCCACTGACAATGTTCGCCCCAGGAGGGGGAACCTCGTCGACGTGGGTGCCTGTGGACTTCCAGGATGCCATCTCTGCGTCCATGGCTATCTGCCACTGAGAGGAGTACTCACCCGCGATTGCCTCAGCGTAAGAGCGCGGGGTAAGGATGTCTGGTGCATCCGGGTCTCCCTCAGGGGCAAGCAGCATGGCCACGAGATGAGGCGCAGCAGCGGCAAGACACTCAAGGTCCTCCTGCCTATCCTCAAGGACGTCCGTGCCAAGAGCACACTCACCCCCGACGGACGGAGGACAGACAGACTCAGACTCAGCAACAAGACTGGCGGCGTAGTCGAGACGACAGGCAGCAGCAAAGTCAACAAGCTCAGCAACTAAGGCAGACGCAGCAGCAGACTCAAACGACGGGTCAGTGACAACAGTGGCAAGCAGACGCGTGACATTAGAGTGCTCAGCACGAAACTGGTCAGACGCAGGGTCAGTAACGACAGGCAGAGAGGACGCAGGGGGGGACGGCAGAGGAACACGCGGCGGAGGAGAGGAAGGACGACGAACTACAAGGTGAGGGCCTGAGACAGCCGGCTGCCGCTGACGAGGAACACGACGACCGGAACGACCAGAACGGACAAGTGAGACAGGACACGACGCAGGCTCACGACGCTCAGCAAGGCCCCCAGTCTGCTCTGTGTACGGGGAAGGAGCAGGTTGCGGTGAGCCAGGCTGTAACGGAAGACCAATAGACGAAGGAAGACTGAGAACCTGGCGAAGTGCAGAGTCAGGTGGTGGCTGAGACGACGGAGACGGCGGAGCGAAGAACAGGCGCGGCTGAGCAGTGCCACCAGCACCAGCATCTTTGGCACCTCCAGCAGCTCCAGCACCTCCAGCAGCTCCAGCACCTCCAGCAGCTCCAGTACCCTCAGCATCTCCAGCACCGCCAGTAGCTCCAGGACCCTCAGCAGCTCCATCACCGCCAGCACCTCCAGCAGCTCCAGTACCTCCAGCAACTCCAGCACCCTCTGCAGCTCCAGTACCCTTAGTCACAACACCGCCAGCCCCAGCAGCTCCAGTACCCCCAGTACGAGCACCTCCGGGACCAGCGACACCAGCAGACGAACCCCCAGCAGTAGAGCCCTGAGGTGCAGAAGCACGACGCTGACGGCGACCGTACCAGTCGTGCAGCTGCTGGGAGGTGAGGGGCACACGCGGACGAAGACGGCTACTCCAAGGAGACTGCGTAAAAGCAGTCTCAGAACCCTCAGGCGACTCACCCCCAGACTCAGCACCCCCAGGCTCCGCACCTCCAGACGCAGCACCCCCAGACGCAGCACCTCCAGGCTCCTCACGCGCACGCTCAGCACCTCCAGGCTCCACACGCTCAGCGCCCCCAGACTCAGCACCCCCAAGCTCCGCACCCCCAGGGACAGCACCACTCCCAGCAGGACCGGAGTCACCAGTGACCTCAACAGGCGCAGGCGCGGGGGGGTCTACCTGAGAGACACCTGAAGGAGCAGGACCTGGCGCGGGGAGGGGGTCTACCTGGGGAGGACCTGGGGCGAGAAAGAGCGGCGGGGGGGGGCGAGGAGCAGTGCGGTAGGGGAAGAGGCGGTAAAAGGGGACCGACTCGTCAAAGGTGACGTCCTGAGACGCAAAGACACGGCGCGAGGCTGGGTCGTAAAACTGCCAGCCAGGCGCGTCAGGGACAAAGCCAAGGAAGACGCAAGGAATGGCGCGAGGGGAGAGCTTGTCCGCAGTGGTATCGCGGACAAAGGCACGAGCACCCCAGACCCGGAAACGCGACGCGTCGCCAACCTTCCCCGTCCATAGCAGTGTGGGCGAGGTCTCCGGCAAGGAGACGCGGGGCCAAAGGTTGAGCTGATGCGCGGCGTACCGGACCGCAAACGGCCATAGAAAATGGGGGGCAGCCGCATGGATCATGGAGGTACGAGCGACCTCCATGACTAAGCCAATGCGGCGCTCAGCAACCCCATTCTGCTGCGGAGAGGCCGGAAGCGTGAATGTCTGGCGGATGCCGTGCTCCGCACAGAAGGCTGCCAAGAGGTCTGAGGAGAACTCACCACCTCGGTCAGAGTGCAGACGCAGGACAGGAAAGTCCGACTGGAACCGCTCGCGGAGCTGGAGACGAGCAGCGCGGATCCAGGGGATCAGAACAGCAGGGACATCCCCCTTGCGCTGCAAGGGGAAGACCGTGGTGTAACGCGTGTAGTCATCGACAACCAGCAGGAAGTACCGCTCGTGGCCCTGTCCACGGACGCGGGCTGGGCCCCACACGTCCAGGTGGAGAGTCTGCAGTGGAGCCTCTGTGGGAGGGAACGAGGAGGAGTGAGGAGCAGCGCGCTGCCGCCCCTCGACGCAAGGAATGCAGGGCGGCGCAGGCGAGGGAGGGAGGGCAGGCAGAGACCTGGGAAGACCAGAGACCAGGAAGCGAGAGTGCATGCTACGAAGGCGAGGCAGGGAGGGGTGACCAAGGCGGTGGTGCCACAGGAGAGTGTCGTGCGACAGCCGGCGACACTCACACTGTGTAGCTACCTGAGCAGACGCGTGTAACTGGGGAGACAAAGGGGCGGAGCGCGACGCAGTGGTGAGGGTGTACAGACTGGACCCTGGCGCACGAGTGAACGTGGCCAGGTGGCGGCCAGTCTGGGAGCACGTGCAAATCGCCACACGCTGCCGGCCAGGGGTGAAGGTGTCAACCCCCGCATCCTGGAGGACAGCGTTACTCACCAAGTTCGTGGAGACCAGACCGCTCACCAGACGGGACCGTCGGACACGGAAGCACAGTGGAAGACCGTGCAAGCACTGGGCCCCCAGAGGGGTCAGCCAATGAGACAGGAACAGGTGCAGGGAGGGGAGTGACTGTGGTACTGTCGCGAAAGAAACAGCGGGAAGCACCAAAGTCAAGCGTAAAGGTGTGCAAGGCCTGTGCAGGCGCAGTACCAAGGGGAGCAGACTCACAAGCACCTAGTGCTGCAGGGGCTATACCAGGGGCTATACCAGGATCCGGCGGCACACACAAGTAGCAGTCACCCTCAGCACTAACAGACAATACATACATAGCAGCAAGAATTGCCTCATAGTCAAGATCAAAGATAGGTACATCACGCCTAAGCAAGTCTGCCCAGTTGGGGAACTCAGAAGCATCATGAAACTTGGCGCGCCAGGCGTCGCTAAGCCGAGCGAAGCAGCGCTGCTCAGTGTGAAAACTTGTGCACTAGCGACCAGCGCGGGGACCTGTGCGGATGATATAGGGGCAGCGACCAGGACCCCCAGAAGCCCCACGCCCAGCATACCAGTCAAGAAGTTGCTGGGAAGTGGGGGTCTGGCACTGACGCTGATGCTGCTGCTGCTGCTGCTGTTGCTGTTGCGGCGGCTGCTGCTGGCCCTGACCACCACTGCCACCACCGCTCCCTCCTCCCCCACCGCCGCTGCTGCCCCCTCCACCGCTCCCAGTGCCTCCGCCGCCCCCACCACCACCTCCACCGCCTCCACCCCCACGACCACCCCCACCACCTCCAACCTGTTATAGTCACAATAGGCTTGAATGTGCCTAAAACGAAAGATAGAGAGCACAGACGGATTTCTGCACAGCGGCTTCAAACGTTGATAGCGTTCTGCTCACAGCTGCAAATGACTTGATTCAAATTGGATCTGGAGCGTTTTCACGTCGTCTACAATTAGCAATTTAGATTGCACGATTTGATAAAGATTTGACGACACAGCGTCGGTTTGAACGAACGGTACTATGGCAGCCACTATAGTCTTAGAACACAAGATAGGAAGAGTTACGAGTTGGGAATGACTCCCAGCTCCTACAAACCCCAAGAGCCGAGGTACAGTGATGTGGAACAGTGCCACACTGTCCCCAACCACGAAGGGTCTCGAAACTACCCTTCACTAGGGCCTACACCAAGTGAAATGTTACACTACACAAAGTAATGTAACTATCTTCAATATCTTGAGGTGTACCCTTTTGGCAAGCTTCGAAATCACTTGAGGCTTGACACCAAGGCTCGGGCTCTTCATCACAAACTCATCCTTGAGTTCTTGATGGGTCTGCTGCACACACCTGCGACACGCCGAACGTTCGACACAGGACAAAATAGAAACCGCGCACGACAAAATAGAAACCGCGCGCGAGACACAAACGACCGCGTAACACGCGTCTAGCGATAACTCGCTATTGACTCGACACACACACTCGACATCATGACTCAACATTCACACACAATTATAAGCATGAAATATATATTATCCCATGCCCTCATACCATTCCATACACACACACATTCACGCACACGGACAACAAGCCGAGTGCAAACCGTAGGGTTGCACCAACAAACTCCCCCTCGGATTGTTGACCTTAGGATATGTTGCTCTCTCAGTTCAGAGCCATCCCAGCCAGCTTGCAACACTTCCAATGCTGCTGCTCCACCAGCCTCTTGGTCATCATGTCAGCCGGCTGCCCCGTGGTCTTCACGTAGCGCAACTCAACTTCACCCGCGGTTACCATGCTCCTCGTCCAATGCCACTTCACTCTCATGTGCTTCGTGAGTCCATGCAACACAGGGTTCTTAGCAAGAGCAATGGCACCCTGGCTGTCACAGTACAGTGGGGTAGGTCCTTGCTGCTCCTCCCCCAATTCAGCCAACAAACGCCGCTGCCACACAATCTCCCGTACGGCACGGAAGAGTGCCATGTACTCGGACTCCACCGAGCTCAAAGCTTGGTCAACCTGCTTCTTGCTCTCCCAAGCAGTTGGGCCTCCACCAACACAGCATATGAAGCCTCCCACACTTGTCATGTCCTCTGGTTCTGATGCATATGAAGCATCCGAGTAGGCGGTGAGGAACAAACGCCCGGGTTCAACACCATCCGCGCCCTTTTGGCGCCTTTGTGCCGCCGCCGAGTATTGCAGCCCAACGGTCGGTGTTTGGCCAAGATACTTGGCCACCCTCATTCCAGCTGCTACCTGCTCCTCATTAGGGCATTGCACAACCCTAGCCAGCTGCCCGGTAGCAAACGCGACGTCCGGTCGGGTGTTTACCGCCGCATACATGAGGCTGCCCACCAACGAGTGAAATCGGCGCCTCTCCTCTTCACCAACGCTCTCCTCCTCTGGTCCCTTCACACACTTGAACCCAGAGGGAAAGGGTGTAGCCACATGGCCTTCACTCTGCCCAAAGTTGGCAGCCAATGCCTCCAGGTACTTTCGTTGATGCACCCGCATGCACCGCTTCTCCACATCTCGTTCGATGTGGAGCCCAAGGTAGAAGCTCACGTCACCAAGGGCCTTGCACTTGAACTTGTCTTGAAGCTTCAGCATCACCTCCTTCACAAGGTCAGAAGAGGGTGAGAAAATGAGGATTTCATCCACATAAACCACCATGAAACTCCTCTGCTCCCCCTCGCCAAGCATGAACAAGGAGTGATCGGCCGTTGAGGGAGTGAAGCCGATCCCCTCCAACACTTCGCGCAGCTTCATGTACCATTGCCTAGGGGCCTGCTTCAGCCCATAGAGGGCCTTCTTCAGCTTCCACACTCTGCCACTACCATCATCAAACCCCTCTGGCTGCGCCATAAAAATCTCCTCCTCAAGGATGCCGTTAAGGAATGCCGTTACGATGTCCATTTGCTTTACTACCCATCCTTTGATGGCGGCTCCCGCGAATAGGGTTCGCAGCGTCGTCGGCTTCACCACAGGGGCAAACAGCTCCTTGAAGTCCACCTTCTCCTTCTGCTGGTACCCCTTGGCTACAAGCCTAGACTTGTAGCGCTCGATCTTGCCGTCGGCATCCGACTTTATTTTGAAGAGCCACTTGGACGTTATCGCCGTACGCCCCTCCGGTAGCTCCACCAATTCAAACGTGTCATTCTCCTCAATGCTCTTCAGCTCACTCTCCATGGCCTTCTTCCACTCCTCAGCATCACTACTCTCCAAAGCCTCCTTGAGAGTTGCTGGTTCTCCCGGCATCTCCACCGGAGAGAAGAACGCGAAGGCACACTCCTCGTAGTCACTCTCCTCGTCGTCTCCGACCATCATTGCCGCTCCGGCCAGGGCTGTCTTGCCCTGCTTTCCCGGCGCATCATAGGTCAGCCTATTAGGGGGTTGAACTCTCCTCTTCCCCCTTCCTTCCTCCTCAGCTGCAGGGACTTGAAGGCCTTGGCGTTGCTGCGGTGTGGCTCGAATCCGTGGAGCACTCGTAGTACGGGAAGGGAGTGACGGTGCACGCTCGCTCACTTGCTGCACCTCCTCCTCTTCTTCCTCTGCATCATTGGCCTCCTCTCCCCCATTCACAAGGGAGGATTGCCTTGTGGTTGTGCTGCCGCTGCTCAGCTCCAAAGGCAGCTCCACATGCTCCAAACCGGAACTCTTCACCTCCCCAAACCGCACGCCTATCTTTGCCTCATTCTCCGCCTTCCAATCCTTGTACATGAAGTTCTCCATGAACTTGCAGTCCCTGCTCACCAAGAACTTCTTGGTGAATGGGTCCCAAAGAAGCCATCCCTTGCTGTTTTGAGCCATGCCCAAGTGCACGGCCCACACCGCCTTGGCACCAAGCTTGTTGTGCCGAAGATGCTTAGGCACGAGCGCCATGCACATGCACCCGAACACCCGAAGCATATCCACCTTTGGCTTCCTTCCTAGCCACTCCACATAGGGCACCCATTTGTCTGCTCCCACATGAGTCAAGGCTCTGTTCTTGGCCACACACGCGCTCCGCACCGCATCAGGCCAGAAATAGTCGGGTAGCCCAGCTTCAATGAGCAACCAGCGTGCCGCCTCCGTGATTGTGCGGTTCGCTCGCTCGGCGATGCCGTTCATTGCAGGGGAGTATGGCATGGTGAGGGAGTGCCGAATACCATTCTTCTTCAGCCACAACCCAAACTCCTTGCTCAGGAACTCTCCCCCTCGATCGGTGCGGATTGACTTGACTAGACGGTCTTGTTGCCGCTCCACCATCGGGAACCAATCCGTCTTCAACGTTTCAGCCACGTCGCTCTTCTTGGCCAGCACGTACACCCAAGTCATGCGGGTGTAGACGTCGACAATGGTGAGAAAATACTCAGCTCCAGCAGCTCCAAGCTTCAGGGGGCCCACCACGTCCATCACCACCTCATCAAGCGGTGCCTTTGCCGTTGCCTCCGAACTAGGGAACGGAAACCGGGTGAACTTGGCTTGAATGCACGTCGGGCAGCCAAGCACCTCATCAGGCTCCCCCTTCACACGTATGCCAGCAACCATCTCATTCTTCACTAGCTGCTGCAAGATGGGCAGGGCCACATGCCCCATGCGCCGATGCAAGGTGAGCCAATCACACTCCCCCGTAGCCGAAGTTGGATTGGAGAATGCCGCGCTCGCAATAGCGCCCCACATACTCTCTCCGTAGTCCTCCTCCGCTGCTGCCTCTGGGTTCTCCTCACCCTTTTGCTGCTCCTTGGTTGCTGCACCACTCTCCTTAGGTTCACTGAACTTGCTGGTCCCTCCAGGTTTGCTCTTCTTGAGCTCATTCTCCTTAGCGCGACCGTTCGCACCATCGTCGCTACCGACCGCTCCATCCTTGGTGCTGATGCTTGCTGCCACTTGCCTCTCCTTAGGCATAGGGACCACTGGGATCTGCCACATCTCGTTGTAGACATCCCTGTCCTCATGAAGGTCCCAAAGAATTCGATCGCCAAGCCTTGCGGTGTAGGTCTTGGCTCCCTTCGAGTTCGTGTCCATGCCGGCCTTTGCCAACCGCCGCACGGAAATCAGGTTTGCAGCAAGGCTGGGCACCCAAATCACGTTCTTGAGGCCCACCATCTTCCCATCAGCACCCTTGAACATGGCCTTGCCCATGCCTTTCACCTCTGCTCGCTGCCCCAAAGCCGATGTGACATGCTTCACCGGTGACGGCTCGAGTTCGGTGAGCAAGTCCGGGCGAGGTGTCATGCTATAGGTAGCGCCACTATCAATCACCCAATAGTCCAGGGGGTGTAGGGTCACCTTCCCCATGTTATAGTCACAATAGGCTTGAATGTGCCTAAAACGAAAGATAGAGAGCACAGACGGATTTCAGCACAGCGGCTTCAAACGTTGATAGCGTTCTGCTCACAGCTGCAAATGACCTGATTCAAATTGGATCTGGAGCGTCTTCACGTCGTCTACAATTAGCAATTTAGATTGCACGATTTGATAAAAAATTGACGACACAGCGTCAGTTTGAACGAACGGTACTATGGCAGCCACTATAGTCTTAGAACACAAGATAGGAAGACTTACGAGTTGGGAATGACTCCCAGCTCCTACAAACCCCAAGAGCCGAGGTACAGTGATGTGGAACAGTGCCACACTGTCCCTAACCACGAAGGGTCTCGAAACTACCCTTCACTAGGGCCTACACCAAGTGAAATGTTACACTACACAAAGTAATGTAACTATCTTCAATATCTTGAGGTGTACCCTTTTGGCGAGCTTCGAAATCACTTGAGGCTTGACACCAAGGCTCGGGCTCTTCATCACAAACTCATCCTTGAGTTCTTGATGAGTCTGCTGCACACACCTGCGACACGCCGAACGTTCGACACAGGACAAAATAGAAACCGCGCACGACAAAATAGAAACCGCGCGCGAGACACAAACGACCGCGTAACACGCGTCTAGCGATAACTCGCTATTGACTCGACACACACACTCGACATCATGACTCAACATTCACACACAATTATAAGCATGAAATATATATTATCCCATGCCCTCATACCATTCCATACACACACACATTCACGCACACGGACAACAAGCCGAGTGCAAACCGTAGGGTTGCACCAACACCCCACAGCTGCTGGCTCCTCAAAGCCTTCATCCTTCTCTGGGCCAGCCGGTACTTGCGTCGACACGAAGTAGAATAGACCCGGGTATCGATCGTCGCTCGGGTCCTTGTCGTTGTCTCCGCTCTTCATGTTTGCAGCTCCGCCACCGCGACCGCCACGGCCTCCACGGCCTCGTCCTCTCCCTCCTCCTGCTCCTCTACCCTCTTGGCCTTGAGCAGGGGTCCAACCATCAGGAAGTTTGTAGCAGTCGCGCCACATGTGTCCGCTCTTGTGGCAATAGTGACACTCGCCGTCGAATCGGCCGCGACCGCGTCCGTAGCTCTTGTCGTCGCTGCCGTAACCGCCACTCCTGCGGCCTCCGCCGAAGTTGCTACCACCAAACCTTCCTCCCCCTCGTCCTCTGCCTCTTCCTCGACCATATCCACGGCCGATGCTCGCTGCCCCAGCGCCATCCGCACTCGCCAACTCACGGCGGCGGAAATCCTCTTGAAGGATAGCTCGCTTCACGTCTTCAAGCGAGAGGCGGGGCAAGTCGCGATTAAGGTTGATGATGAGCGAGGACCATGACTCTGGGAGTAAGGCCAGCAACTTGGTCTTCTTTTGGAGCTCACTGTAGTTCAAATCAGCTCCCTCAAGCCGCGTCAACAAGTCGAAGAATTTCTGCACCCCTTCTTCAACCGCTTCGTCTTCTTCAATTCG